TTTATTACTTTTATTTTATGTGTATGCGTGTATTGCCTGCATGTAGATAAGCACACCTGTGTCATGCAATGCCCCCAGAGAACAGAAGAGACTGTTGGATTCCCTGGAACTGGAGTTAAGTACAGTTGTTAGCTGCCATGAGGGTGCTGGGATTTGAATCCAGGTCTTCTGCAAGAATAGTCAGTGTTCTTAACCACTGAGCCATCTCTCCAGCCCCAGAATAAAAATAAATTTTAAAAATAAAGATTAAAGCCAGGCATGATGGTACACACCTTTAATCTCAGCACTTGGGAGGCAGAGGCAGGCAGATCTCATCGAGTTCAAAGCCAGCGTGGTCTACATAGGGAATTCCAGGCCAGTTGGGGCTACAGGGAGACCATCTCAAAAAGACTAAAAAAAGCCAGGCATGGTGGTACACACCTTTGGTCCCAGCACTCGGGAGAGGCAGGCAGATCTCTGTGAGTTCAAGGCCAGCCTGGTCTACATAGTGAGTTCCAGGACAGTTGGGGCAATAGGGAAACCCTCTCTCAACAACAATAATAATAATAATAATATAATATATTAATTTTTAAAAAGTAATAATAATAATAATATAATATATTAATTTTTTTAAAAAGCCACATAAGGGCTGGAGAGATGGTGCAGCAGTTAAGAGTACTGACTGCTTTTGCAGAGGACCCATGTTTGAGTCCCAGCACCCACATGGTGGCTAACAACCATCTGTAACTCCATTCTCAGGGGATCCAACACCCTCTTCTGACCTCCAAGGGCAATGCACGACACAAGTGCACCTACCTACATGCAAGCAATATACCCATACACATTAAATAAAAATAAATATTAAAAAAAAGACCACATAAAGCACATTTTTAAACTGGAGTGTTTGGAAAGTGTATTGTGAAACAGTATTCTGTGCCCTCTCGTTCTAAAAACCATCTTCCCTATAAAATTTATCCAGCGCTTTTTCCCTTGGGATTCCATGCCAGCCTTCCATGGTGTGAGGAGAAAGTTTATTTGTTCTGAGTAAGGAAATGACTGACCACTTCCAGGCAATTTCCCCAAACCCATCTCCTCAGTGAATCTGTTTAGACAGTGGCACAGCTTACAAAGCTAACTGGAGGGGGCTGGGGATACTGCTCAGTTGATTAACTGCTTGCCATGAGGACCTGAGTTTAGATTCCCAGCACATGTAAAATGTCTGGCATGGCAACAGGTGCCTCTAATCCCAGCACTGGGGAGGCAGAGACAGGAGGATCCCTTGGCCTGCTGGTGAGCAGCTAGTCTAGCTGAATGAGTGAGCTCCAGGTTCAGAGAGACTGAAAAAACACAGAACTACCGAGGAAGACGCCTGATGTTCATGCATACACATGTACCCCCATCTGTGCACCCAGGGGGCGGCGGGCTCTGGCACCATCTTGTCCCTGGGGCCGTGGGGAGGCCGGAGGGGGAACCTGGGGGGGTGCAGGGGACTAGGGAACAGCCTGGAGTCTGAGGAGCTGGAGCCTGGGGAGCTGCTGCCGGAGCCTGAGCGCGAGCCCGAAGAGGTGCCACCCCCCACCCCTGCCTCGGGAGCCCCCCGACAGCCAGGAGGAAGAGACAGGGCTGGTCGAGGGCGACCCCGGGGACAGCACCATTGAGGACCCAGAGCTAGAAGCGATCAAAGCTTGACTCAGGGAGATAGAGGAAGAGGCCGAAAAGCTAAAGGAGCTACAGAAGGAGTTGGAGAAGCAGTATGAATCTACCCCAGGCAATGCTGGCCCAGTGATTATGTCTATTGAGGAGAAGATGGAGGCTGATGCCCGCTCTATCTATGTTGGCAATGTGGACTATGGTGCAACAGCATAAGAGCTGGAAGCTCACTTTCATGGCTGTGGTTTGGTCAATTGTGTTACTATACTCTGACAGATTTAGTGGCCATCCCAAAGGGTTTGCATATATAGAGTTCTCAGACAAAGAGTCAATGAAGACTTCCCTAGCCTTAGATGAGTCTCTGTTCAGAGGAAGACAAATCAAGGTGATCCCCAAAGGAATCAATAGACCAGAGCATCCCATGTGCCCGCTACCATGCCAGGACCACCAACTACAACAGTTCCTATTCTAGATTCTACAGTCGTTTTAACAGCAGGCTTGGGGGTCGAGTCTACAGGGGCCAGGCTAGAGTGTGTATTAGGAGGAGAGGGGAAAAAGAGGAAAGAAGGAAAAAAAGAATTAAAAACAAAGATATGCTGTGGAAGGGGGAGAATCCCATAACTAACTGCTGAGGAGGGGAAGGCCCAGGGGGTAGGGCAGGGGCTGCTTCTTCCCTCTGGGGATTCACCATGGACACGAATCAACTGTGCAAGCTGCTCCGTTTCCCTGCCCCCCTTCACCACCTTGGGGCCTGCTCAAGGGTAGGTGGGCATGGGTGGTAGGGTTTTTTTCACCCAGGGCTCTGGAAGGACACCCAACTGTTCGGCTTGTTTCCTTCCCTCCATCTTCTCCCTGCCTTTCGCAGTCCCTGCCTGCCTGCCCCTGGCTGCCAGGTCTACCACCCACCCCATCCCTCTTTCCTGGTTCCCTGCCCTTCCACTTTGCCTGGTGAGCTATTATGTTTCCTTTTGTGTTTCTTCTGTTTTAAGTGTCTTTCTTTGCAGGTTTCTGTAGCCGGAAGATCTCCGTTGGGCTGTGGCTCCAGTGTAAATTCCCCTTGACCCTGGGGAAATGCACTACTTTGTTTTGGGGGGTTTGGGGGGTTTTTGTTTTTTAGTTTTGTTTTTTTTCTTTACCTTTTTTCCCTTTTATTTGGAGGGAATGGGTGAAGTGAGAACAGGGAGGTGGGAGGTGGATTTTGTTTATTTTATTTTATTTTTTTAGCTCATTTCCAGGGGATGGGAATTTTTTTAAAATAAGGTG